GAAAGGATAAGGAGGTAAAGGGAATGGAGGGTATGAAAGGCAGCGGGTGATATGCATTCTGTGAAGGAATATCAGACCTTAATTATAGTGTAGAAAATAACAGAGTTTCTGTTTCACTGTGTCTGCTACAAGCAGATTGTCCGTTGTTTAGTTTATACTCAGCTCCTTCCATCCAACTGGTTGGCTTTAACAGGCTGAATTTATGTCACCTGCCAGCCGGTGATGAATCATTGCTGTCTCCTGAGAGCTCTGTGTTTGTACCCACAGTGTTGTGTAAAACTAACAAMTGCATCCAGGAGGCCACAGCCGCTTCAGTCAGTCCTGACTCTGGTCTCCAGAGGCACCACTGAGACCGTCACCCCCACCTGCCTGCTGTGTGTGATCGCGGTTTCTCTGACCACCGAGCTCTTAAAAAAGGACAGAGAAAATCGATCAGCGGTTCTTCAGCATGCTGCATATGAGGCTCGTTGTTCAACAACCCTGTGAGKCGCTCCAGCTCCAGCCCGTGCACGCTCCGTCCACCTGACAGGTAATACCAGGGGATCAGAGACTCTTCTGAAGGCTCTGCTACAGCTTTGTCTCTCGAGTTGTGAGGTTTGTTTTACTCACTCAAAAAATAGAGATATTTCCTCTCATGAATTGCAAAATCCTGGCTGAGATAACAGCACAGGTTCACAATGAGGCCGGCATTAAAGCCATGTGAGTTTAGTCCTGAGTGACTATCCCCTGCTCTGCACCTGATCTACAAGCCGCAGAGTAGCTTTAGTGCTGGTTTCACTGTTAGGAGGGTTTGTCGTGGAGCTGCATCTCTCCAGAAAAACAAGCAACGAGACACATCTTGGCTTTTTGTAATAAAGCAGCCTGTAAAGGAGAAACCATCTCTTTGTTCTCTTCCCTCTGCAGCCCTTTTGTCACTTTTACACTCTAAGAACACTTGGAAAATATAGAGCCTGTCCGGTGACTTTGGACAAAAAATATTTTTCTTGTGGGCAAATTTATTCTGTTTGACACAGATTTTTTTTAGTGCACCACATATTGTTTTTACCTATTTATTTGATCCATTTTATGATAATCTACTTGTGTAACTACCTATTTTTCAGTTATGATTAAAACCTTGATGTGCAATCTGCTTTGAATGATCCATTTCACCGTCATCTTGAAACAATGAAACATTAGTTAACACATGCCTTATCACCACACAACAGACCAACAATGAACTATTTTTCTCATCAAGAAATCTGTATTACTGTAGAAGAACTTAGCTTCTTGGTAGAAAAGGCCCTCCCAAACGGATAWGACGTACAGTATTGACCTCGAAGGAGGGTCTGGGTTCAGAAGAGTTTCTTTAAATCGGTGTTGACTTCCTGATTTGTGGCAAAAATATTCTAAGACAGAACAGTCTGTATTTTGGTCCAGCTGGAGGTATTGTATGGCTTTATTATTTGCAAATAAATGTTCAAGTCCAATTATGATTTTTTTTCCTGGCTGGTTTGCTATGAAGTGAAAAACGTGTTTTTCTTACACGTGAGCACGAGATAATTATGTCAAGGTCACAATTTATTAATGTCATTTCCATGCAGAGACTAGATCATTTACATGGACAAKTTTGAATTATTGTATTTTTTTTAAATACAGAATTACAAGACATACTTCAGTTACTTACATTAGGCATGAAGTAATTCTTAGCATTATATACTGCAGCTAGAAGGTAAAATATAATGACTGGAGATGTATTTGTCCAAAAAGATTTATTTTCTTTTTTTGAAGCTCAACACAGAACAGACTCTTCTCACATCATGTCTTTGCAGCAGGAGTTATGTTACGTTCATGAAGACAGTGAAAATATGCTTCCTGACAGAAACCTAGGGTGTTCATTTTCATCTCATAAAGATGAACCATTTATATTAACATACACCAAATAATAACAAGTGTGGCATAGGACAATGTATTTAAAATCTGAGTCCAACAATGTCTGTATCTCTCACAAAAAGACATGCTACTCAAAATTATTGTGTGGCCAAGAGATAATATATTTTATCCTATGCCACTGGATGGGAACCATAGTAAAACGAACATGTCATGGTTGGTAATAACCTGCATTACAGCAAAAAAAAAGATTATATATATATACTGTATATATAC